TGCCAACAGTAATTAGTTACTGCTTTTGGTAATTGGATCTTTTGTCAAATGTGCCTCTGTGTGAAAATGATCTGTCTGAAAAACAGAGTCAAACATTCTCATTTGATTTCATCCACCACATATCCAGCCACAAGCTTAATTAGTTCTTTGTCGCTTGTAACCTGCTGTCCATGATTAACATCCAGTTTTATATCTTTTATTATTAATCTTTTATATCTTATCTTAATATTATTAATGACTTTCTGTCTTGTAAAGCAATTGTCTTGTTGTTGAAAGTTGCTAAGTAAATTTGCCTTGCAGGTGCATTTCCTGCTATCACAAGTCAAAAACTATATCCGAATTCCACACTACATACAAAGTGTATGCTGTATTTATTCTATACTATTTGTCACAGAGTATAATAATAAATATGTAATCAAACTAATATTTAAGAATAATTAAAATAAGAAATCATATTTTTCCACTTTTTCACTTCTGGAACACTATAAAACCTGCTTGGAATTACTATGTAGTATGGAGTTGGGACAAAGCTAAAATACCTCCTGTAAAAAAGGGATTTCCACCGCACACAGCCACCTTAACCTGGGGATTTTGAATGATTTTCTCGATAGACTGGCTGCTGTATGAGGTTTGTCCAAAGGGTGGTGCTAGTGTTCCATGTGTGTGTTTACTCCTGTACAGGATGTTAAACAACCACTGCAAAGCACAAGAGGGAAATCTTGAGCACCATCTCTCACCTTCCTGTCTCAATAGTTCTCAAAGTCTGCAGTTTTAGCGTTGTTTCAAAGCCCACAACATACTGGACCAAAGTCACTGCTCTCTTGTACTGCAGTCTATCCTGGGCCCTGCCTCTGCCGATAAGCCTATATCACATGTTTTATTGCAGCTATGAAAGCATGTAAAGAGATTGATTAATCTAATCTAATCTGACTAATCTGTTATGTGGTACTGTAGTGCGCAGTTGAAGTTAAAAAACAGAATGTGTTCAGACATTGCTAATGGAGCCTTAAGCGTTTTGTCAATATGATAGCTTATAACCACGTCCATCAATTGTTTTGTCAATTTCACGTCCACTCACAATTAGTCCAACTTGGCCAATGTAATTGCTCTTTGTCCTTCCTCTACTCATTTGAGTCTGCTGGAGAGATGTTGTGCAAAGGCTGAAAATTATTTATTTCTTAAAACCTTTTCCGAACATAGTCCCAAGCTTATTATTTTAATTAATGTGACCGTCCGATAAATCCTATTGATTATTCAACTTTATTTAACAGTACATTTTATTTTCAGTGGCTGTGGTGATGGATATCCTACTTGCCAAAAAATATATTGAAGGTCCAGTGTGTAACATTTAGGATGCTGTATTGTCAGAAATTGAATATAATATTCATAGGTATGGATTCATTAGTGTATAATCACCTGAAAATAAAGATCGTGCTTTTGTTACCTTAGAATGAGCTGTTTTTATCTACAGACAGGCGGGTCCTCTTCTATGGAGGGCGCGATGTTGAACCGCCATGTTTCTACAGTAGCTTAGAATGGACAAACCTAACACTGGCTTTATATCTGGCCTTTCGTGTTTTTTTTATAGTGAATAGTGACATTTGCTTGAAACAACTTGCTGGACGTGAAAGACATAAAAAATATTAAATGTTGTGTTTCCATTGTTAAATTCGCCAATAGTCGAAAACATAAAACAATATGGTGGTTTGTACTGGGCTAGCAGTACTGTTATGATAATGGTAAATTATTTGAATTGCTCTATATTTTCACATCCATTAGAAATGAGATCATAGTGAGCTCATTCTCAACATTGTATAAGAGATTTATTTCTTGTTTTGCACTCGTAAGATCAATGCAAGGCAGCATCATATTTGAATACAGGCAGCACACTGCTTAGCAAGTTCAACATGTCTGTGTGTTCTTTAGCTACTTGTTATTGGTTTATTGACTGAGAGAACGAGAACAAACAACTGACTTGCCACCATTATTGCTTTCACCCCCCCCCCGGTCACCATGCACTTAGTGTTGGCTCACTGCAGTTCACCAATACACCTCACACATCTGTGTTTGCACAGGAGCAGGTGGATGGACACTGTTCCTCTATTGCCTGTAAACAGCTTGTCACTCCCTGCCCTCTTACGATGGTGGGGGGGGGCAGGCTGGTGGTCGTCAGGGGGGTTAAGGTTGATGAACGGTGCGTCGTGTTTGTCTGACCCACTTCATTTCATCCCAGACAGGCTGCGGGGGCTGCAGGTTGTGGCCGAGGGGGCAGCCGAGCCAGAGTTAATGACAGGGCTTTGTTCGGCGCTGGGGATCTCGTCAGGATAGGCCCGAGCCAGACAATAGCTGGGGTCACAGGTCCTCAGAGACCCAGGGTGAGAGGGCTAATGAGTCAGTATTGAGCTAAGAGGAGCAGGCCAGTGTGGTCTGCAACCGCAGGCTCAGATGGTTCTGACACGGCCATGGCCAATTTGTCTGTTTTGTTCCTGACAGGAGGCTGCAGAGCCACCATGTTACTGTCTTATCAGCAAGCATTTCGTACATAACACATTTTCTTACAAGTGTTGACAAAGGGGCTATTATTTTCTGCAGTAGAGCAGCAGTTAAGCTAGAGAGTGTCCGATCAGAAAAGAACCCACCCAAATTCAATGTGTATCAATTCATTTTCAAAAAATGTACCTAAAGACAGAGAGAGCGGTTCCAAATCCCCAGCAGCATGATGCACCACCAATTAATGAATGTTCTTGGTCAAAAAGAGCTGGAATGCAAATTATGGTGTACAATGTGATCAGAGCTGATAGCGGAGCCACTCAAATCCACAGAGCCAAAATCAAGAAAAGTTGACCCAACCTGACTGAATTAAACTGAATATAGTTTTGACCTAGCTTGACTAGGGTCCTGAGTCAAGTCTTTGTTACTCAGAACCAACCAGACCCACTAAGACATCATGCATGGTTGTTCAGACACGTTAGTTTGCGGTTTTCTTGCATGCTTGTTATATATTTTAGGTATAAAGCTAATGCCAATCAATTCTCTTCCTGACTACAAAGAGGAAGCTGAATCAGTCTGCTTGTTTGAAGCTGCACAAAATGTTTAGCTTCTGGAAATCTTTACCCCAGTTCCTTTGCTAGCCTCTCTGCGACCCAGATCTACCTTAGATCCACATACATGTCAATCTCATGTATCTCTGTAACTCTTTAGTACCCTGTAAAGGCTTTGTGGAATTGTGGAATTGTAACAGTGTCCTGAAACCGGAAAGCTTTCTGACACTGGAATACCTCTTAACGTCTCTTTTTTCATTCTTAACATAAATACTTCCGTATCTTAGTGGGTACAACCTAGGGTAATGCCTTTGAAGGCTTTCCGAAAGTGCGCGCTCTTATCCCCATTTGGATTACCCGCTTCAAGTGTGGTTCTGAACAGTTATAATGACTTTTGCCTTTAGATGTGGGGGGGCGTCGTACTAACCACTTGGTTTCAGTAAGTTGAACCCTTAAATGCTGCTTGGTAAATTCTACGGACCTGGTATTCCTACAATGTTTACACTCCCACAGTTAAATCAACGCTGCCAATATTTCTGCGCACGAAGCTTGACTGTGACTCCTTCAAGCTTGACTGGCCCCTCTCTTCCTTTGTTTGACTTTGTAGCTTTTAATTTTGATCTCTTTACGCTTCCCCCCCCCCATCACTCTATCAACCGCTTTCGACTAGGACACATACGGCTCTGGCTTATCCAGCCGTGACATTGACCTCTCATCTTCATATTGACCGCTGTTTCCCATGACCTCTGACCTCTCAGGGTCAAGCCTGCAGCCGTCTGGACCTCCTCCTCCTCCACCTGGCCCCTATCTCCACCCTTCAGCTGGTCCAGATGGATTACTCCCTGCTCATCTACAGGATAACATTGTTGTCGAGACTGCAATCATCCACAAAGCTCCAGGTCTGAGCAGCAGGCTCTGGATACAGAATCATTTTTGTGATGTTTAATTATGATTATGTTTAATATTTTTCCATCAAGCCTTGAATCTGCAGGTTTATTTTGCTTGAGAATAAAAAAAAATGAATTGCCCCATGTCACTTTAGATGGCATTTATGATGTGTTTTTCCCTGCCTGTCTCTCTTTTTCTCTCTGTCTGTCGCTCTCTGAACTCGCTGTCCTCATTCCCTAGCCTGGTTTTGATACATAGTGTCCTGATAGTTTGCTCTGGGAAAATCTGGGTCAGCATGGGGAGCCTGAATAGCGCAGGCACGAGGCTGACTCGCTAAAGACGTACGTCACACATCGCTGTACAAAGGCTGCTGCTTTTAAACAGTAAATTCCACATACCTCACATACCGGTCAGACGTACCTGCTCGAGTTTGAGCAAAATCACTTTGTGTCTTAGTGGGATCAGTAATAAGGCACAACGGAGCCCAGCCCAGGCAGACTTTAAATAGGATGCCACATAGGTCTGGATAATATTTTTATCTAGCTTGAGCAGAAGTGATGCAGGAAACTGTTCACATGAGCACATTTCATTATCAGAATTGACTGTGTTTGATTGCCTTGCCATTTTGAGCGACATGTCCATTAGTTTTGGATTAGGTATTACATCATCAAGTCTAGACAGCCATCTAATGTGCACATGATTGAATTACATGGATTGGAAATATGCAGCAAGCCAACAATATTGGTATGTTTTGGCAATGAGAGTAAGTTTATGATTGAAAATTTGTTTCTTGGCAGACAATTTTCTTCATATTTTTGAAATTGTGTCACATTTTTCCCTGCTTTTGTTTAGAGTGTGAGATAGTTTTTTTCCGTGCAAAGCGGGGCTTGCTCCTTGGAGCCGAGTGGACTTTGGTCTGAGCAGCATTCCTGATCCCTGCTGAACTGAGAGCTATAGGGAGAGGGGAGGGAGAACGAGCTTCGACGGAGGAGGGGGAAGGCAAGAACAAGAGAGGAAGTGAGTGTATATTACAAAGTGTGCCTCTCAGTTGTGGGCATGCCCAGTAGAGTTCGCCTTGCAGAGAGATCCAGCCTCTAAATTTGAACAGGAGGGAGACGAGGTGACTGAGACTTTTGTTGCTGCTCTCTCTTGCGCGCACTCTCTCTCTCTCTCTCTCTCTCTCTCTCTCTCTCTCTCTCTCGCAATGTTATTTTTCCCCTCCTCTCCCAGTAGTGTGTGGAGAGATTTTTTGGTATGGAAGAGCAAGAGGAGGTGCAGATTTCAGCTAGTGCAAAATAGAACAAGGGGGAAGTAAAGAAAATAGGAAAAGAAGAAGAAGAAAAAGAAGAAGAAGAAGAGAGAAAGACTTCACCCCCATCTACCTCTTCCTCTCCCTCATTCCCTCCTCTGCCACAGCTTTTATCTCAGAAATAGCGGAGGGACCAACTTCAAAAGGCAGTGAGGAAGGAGCTGGAGTGTGAAATCTGAGAAGAGAAGCAAGATGAGAGGCTGACCGGCGCTGTGTTTGCTATGCTGTCCAGGTCAGTGCCCAGGAAAGACCAAACAACTGCTCACTCTTTTCCTTTACCTGCTTTTTCTGCTTCCAAACTCTTGTCTACTTGGTGTGCATTGTGCTTTTACATCTGCTCATACCCTGAATTTAAAAAATAGTGGCTGTACTGGCGAGGGATTGTGTAACAAGACTGACTGACAGACTGAATGACAGACTGTCAGCACAGACTGTCAGCACCATCCGACCGGTGTCACCCACAGCGGAGTGAAAGTACTGAAACTCCAGCTGCTCCCTTCAGCACTACATATGGGAACTGTTTAGTTGATCAGCTCAGATGTTCACATGCGTACACGTGTTGAGGGAGGACAAACTCGCTGAATACGGCCACGTGGTTACGATAAGGGAGAAATCACGGCAGATGTACTGGAGGATGGGTGCTCATGCACCTCCGACTCACGTGGGGTGGGGGGAATGCGGCGGAGGTACAGAGACAGGATTCATTTTCAAGTTTTGTAAAGGGAGTTTTGAATGTATTTGCCACAAAACCTCCATCTTGTGTCTGTACATGCTCACAAATAGTGTGCAAACCAAGTGAGGTGCTTTGATCAGTGATATGATGACAATTGAAGAAGTTTTAAGTTGTCAGTATGTAAGGTATGGTTGCTCACTTTGTTTTTACCTTAAATTTAACTTAAAATTTCCACTTTTAATTTTAACTGTAACTTTAAAACCCACATTCTTATATTTTCAAAATAATCCAGTTAACCATGTTTCATTAAATGTATTCCCTTCAAATGATGGTGCCTTGGCCTTACCTGAAATTCCCCAAATCCCATAATATTACTGTGTTTAATCAGAGTGGATTTAGAACTATCCAGTAATAACATGAAGTCAGTGTGTTTTTTACAGTAGAGCTCAGTTTGTGATTTTAAGTCAAAAAAGGCAGAGAGGTTAGAATTGATGAGAATTTATTATAGTATGAGAGCTGTCAGACAGCTCACCTGGTGAGTGCTGTCCTCCGTCCGAGGCACCCATGAGGGCCTGTCCCATTAGCTATCCCAGCATGCTTTGCCACTGACAAGTGTCAGCAATGGCCTCCCAGGAGATGTGTTGTTGACAGGTTTATTATTCCTAGACTGTAGAAGTAGGGCACACCACAGATTTAATATTATATGTACAGATTATTATTATATTTATTATTATTATTGTTATTATTATTATGTTTCCGTAGTAATCACATATTTTGTCATATGGCTTTTTGTTTCCGACTGTTTCCCAGCAGCAATCTGGCGTGCAAATAATTTATATTTTCATTATTGATAAATCTGCTGATTATTTTCTTAATTAATCAAATAATTGTTTTGTGTTTAAAATCCCTTTTTTTTTAATCTCCAAAGGAGACATATTCACACTCATTTTATCTGATAAACAATTCAAAATCCAAGACAACAAAAATCATGAAATCCTCACACATTCTGGAAATTATTATTTTTTTGCTTGAAAAATGACAATTAATTGATAAAGATAATTCAGCTTACTTTACAGATTCCTCACACATTCATACTTGGTAAGTACAATAAATGAAAAGACCACTTAATATTTTCAAAATGTAATTTAAAATTTTTTTCTCAGTTATAGTTAAAGAAATGATTCATGCTTTGTCAGTATTACATTACTGTCTCCTCCTCCTCAGTACTTGAATATGTTTACAGCAGTAGTGGCTGTTGTCGTCATCTCTGGCATACCAGACATACTGTAGCTGATCCTCTGTGCTCCATCCTCATGTTTGTAATGGTTACAGTGGGTGTTTCCCCTCAACATATCCCAACTCTCTTTACATGTAGTAAAGAAATATTTAAAGGATGGATTAGGCTTGATATTTACTTTCATTCTACTACTATTCTGAAGGTCTCCCTGTTGAGTAAGGTCATGATTCAGATGAGGTTAAAAAAGTCCCTTTCTCAGTTTATTGTTCATTATATGACCATTTATGGGTTACACTTAGGTAAAATGTCCTTCAGTCCTAATAAGGTTTTAAGAACGGATGATTGAAGAAACTTAAAAAAGAAGAACTTGAACTGTTGTCGGAAGGTCAGATTCTGGCAATGTTTTTCTCTAGCTTTGGATAAAAGGCAAAGTTCTTTGCTGTAAGTGAAGAGGGAGGGTATTTTTGGTGTCTATATGTGTGGGCTGGCCACTTGTAACTGCACGACACAAAAAACTACTAAAATGCAAATTTTTTAAATGTTCACTTAGATACTTAGATCCAGAATGTACAACAGAGATAATATTAATTCATTCTTGACTTTGGAAACTTTATTTTTTGAAGAGATATTCATGTAGTTTCTAAATAACTAAAGCACACTCATTACAGTGACACTTCTGCAATAAAGAATTGTGGAATTTTTCATGAATTTTAAAAAATAAAATGGATCAGTATCACATTATTAGATGAAATGGTTATTGTTATTACACGTTAACATACGATCTTATCACATTATAGGAAACTTTTCATGCTAATATAGAATTTATCTTGTTATAATGTGATAACTTTTATTGTTATAACAATTTGTGTTTAACAATATAAGTTAATGTTATAACATTAGAAGTTTGTATAATAATATTTCGTAACGTGAAAAACATCTTGTTATAAACGTAACAATCTTTTCAAGTTATAACATGATACTGATACGTTTTTCTTTTTCTACATGGCAGTAATTAGCCTCCGTACTGAAGCTGCTTTCTAAAGGGCATTTTTAATAAAATCTGGGCTACAAATGGGGGGCATGAAGTGCAAAAGATGAATTATGTTGTCCAGTTGCATTATGATTCAGTGATTTTGAAGCTTGTGCTAGGGACTAATAGACTAAAAGAATATCTAAACCTGTCCCTCACAAAGTCCCCCAACTTCATGGAAGTCGACAGAACTATCATTTTTAACTCTTCACTCTTTTACTCTGAGATTACCAATATATGTAATTTTGTCACGCAAACAACCTCTATGTGTCTCCTATCATAAACCAATTAAAGTTTTTCAATAGAGAAAACGAGTAGCGAGAAATTAAACTGAAAGTGGACGCTTTCCGAAGTTATACCTAAAGCGCATTAGAGTCTGAATTGTAGCAGCATGAGCTACGGTGGTAACGCAGCTAGAAAAACTGCAAATCAACAATATTTCAGTCTAATTGTTTTTATGTTGATTTCATACCAAGGATTTGATCAGACAATCTATATAACATAATGATATTGTTAAAACTTACAGGTTGAACAAGTTGGCACATTTTTGTCCTTCCTTGTTGGCATTTCTTACAGACCAGAACTAGCATACATGATGTGAAAAAAACGTGAAATACCTCTAGATCCTAATTTTGACCTATTTTGTGCTAAATCAGTTTTCCAGTTGCCATTCGGGGTGCAGGGTGGACGAATCCTGTTGATATTTCTTAGGGATCTTTATTACTACTCAGGACAGATGCCGATGTGATATCATGGCATTTATGTAGCAAGATACAGTTACAACTGTAACGTGTTACATTAAAGCGGACTCTCCCATACTAAATTGCAGTAGTACCTTTTTATGCCTCCACTAATCTGGTTTGCCTTGTTTTAATTAAAGGATCCGTCCTGTCAGCTATAGTCAGGGTCTACTATTGTAAGGTCTCAGTAAACACCTTTTCAACTCATTCATTTGCTGGACATTTTTGTTTCTTATTCTGACCCACATATTTAAGAATAAATATTTCTTATAGACCAAAAGAATATCTAAACCTTAAGATATTTAAGAATAAATATGTGAAACTGTGTATGCATAGTTGTGTGCATTGTCTTGCTCCATATGGGGCGACTCAGAAAGCAGTTGGAGCTGCTTCATCAGAGTTCATTTATTTAACCGTCAGGATGACTCCCTTCTTCCTGGGAGACTGGGTTCCCATACCGTGGGTCCCACCCCTGATGGCCCATCTGAGGCTCCATGATCCATCACACAGCAGGCGGCCATGTTCTCTGAAAGGGCCGTGAACTTGTTACCTCCCTCAGCCCGCCTGCCTGAATGTCAAACCCATTTTTCTTTTCTTGTGTCCCCTTTCTGCGGTCTACCCCTTCCCAGGACTGCTGGTGTATTGAAATAATTGGGCCGCTTTCAGTGCGACCAGGTTGCCAGTGCAGCTTTTGAATAGAGATATCAAATCTGGTGCCACGATTTCCCTCTGACCTCCCTTTCAGAGCTCCTTCCTCTGCCTCTGCCCGCCTCCCTCCGAGGTCATGATGGGTCACCATCATGACTCCAGCCTCTCAGCACAATGACATGACATCCATGGTACATTATCTACAGTGGGTCAGCTGGCCTGGAGCTCTGTCTATAGACTATTCTTCCCTGCTCCGTTGTCTCGGTGATCTCTGGATCCAGCCTGCTCAACATGGCACACATTCAAAATGGCAACCTCAAGGGGCTTTTATTCCTCCGGCAGAATTCAATCACTTTTCTCTCTCCTCTTTCTGCCTCTCTGCTGAGTTATTCAGAGTTTAATGAGAGAGGGGAGATAAAGGGAAGCTTATGGTTTGCCGGATGATGGAGAGGCTGCCTTTTTGTTTCTGTTGGAGGAGCCACACAGCGAGCGTTCATGTGAAATGAGTTTTTTTTTTTTTCTACCAGAGGGGAAGGTGATTGAGATGTCTGAGAAAGAGCCAGGGAGTCTGGAGAAGGAAGGGTCATTAAAGTGTCAGTGGAGCTGCAGCTCTTCAAATATTCTTCAGCATTTTAGAGACAGTCCAGGTTGCAGGGGGTTAAGTTGGAAGACGATTTTTTGGGCAAAGTATGGAGGTATAATCTTCAGTGAGGTATTATGATTATCAAACGTTAATGCACTGATGTCACCACAGACATCAAATAGTTATGCGCCTCTACACCTCCAGCGCCATGCATCATTTTAATGACTGCACAGGATTATCCCCTTACATAAGCAAGAGTGGGCGGCTTGGAGACGGCTCCTGACAGTGTGGGAGGGCATCAGACCGGACCAGAGGAAGCGC